CCCCCAGCCCCAAAGAGACCCCGGGCTCCAGCCCCGCCACCCCCTCCCCATCGCCCTCGTTCAGCATCGCCTCCAACTGCTTCCCTAACAATTGAGATTTCTGCTTTGAGATCATCTGTCAGCACCTCTGACAAACAAAGACCAGTCGGGGTTTGATATTTCGGACACCGAGAGCAGCGTCAAAACCCTGGTGACATCCAAACACGAAAGAAAACAGGTGTCCAGAACCCACCTCCGCAGGCAGAGCCCCCGGGTGCCTGTCCTGCCTCCCCCCGCAGACACATCTCCTCAACAAATGATGAGGAAGAGCAACGGCACCAGAGGGAGTCGAAAGCTGCGTAAAACCCTACAGCTGTGTGCAGAAATCCCGCTGCTGCAAGCACATCTGCTCCCAGACCCGGCGAACAATTCCTGGGAGCTGCCCAGACTTGCTGGGCTGCCCCCAGCCCAGGCTGGCCAGTCCCACATGCTGGCCCCGCGCACGCCGGCCCCGGATGCTCACGGATGCAGCAACACATCCCGGTGCCGCACAGCCGGGTCAGCTCCTCCAGGGTCTCTTCCCCTTCCCCAGCCTGTGAACCAGCAGAACGGCAGCGATCACAGCCGGCAGCGATGCTGCCACAAAAAAACCCAGCAATTTTCACAAAATAATAGTGAATCTCACAAAAACCAGCGAATTTCACTCAGGAATCCATACAGCACGGTGTAAAGAGGATATGCTGCTCTCTTAGCATAAGGGTGACCCAGAGGAGAGGCTGGGGACAGGGAGATGGGGCAGCGTGAGGCTGTTAAAATCCAGGGAGGACAAGAGCAGGCACGGCCACCTCCCAGCCCTGCAAAACATCTGCACCCTCAAAACCCCACCGGGATCTTCGGCCCTTTGTCAGGAGCCCGTCTGGGAGCCTCAGACGGGACCCTGAGCCCAGGAGGTTCAAACTTGCACCTCAAAAAGGCACGGCCAGCCCACAGCAGGCGATCAGGCGAGCGTGTCCCTGCCAGCCCCGCACTGGGGAGGCGGAGGGGAGGGTAAAACAGCAGCCAGTTCTCCCCGGGACACACAGCCACGACCGAGCACCCAATATGCCACTCTCAGCTTCGCCGCGTGCTCAGGGACCTCCGACATAGTCTTTGTTGCAGATATAAAGTTGGGGGAAAAAATGAGTTATCGTTTTGGAAGGAATTGCTCCCTGGCAGAGCTGGAGACCCCCACACCGGTCTCTGCCGGGCCACGAGACCTGGCTGCAAGCACCAGCGTAAGCACAGGCATTTCGGCTCACCGGCTGCAGGCAGGGCCTGCGGTATACGTGCAGGAGAAGCAGTGCATACGCAGGAGCATACGCAGGGCTGGCTCCGTGCATTTCTCCAGCTGCACCACCTGAGATCACTCGAGGACATCCTGTCACCATCCTCTGATACACAAGCGGGAAAGGGAACATCCCACCACGACTCAAACCGCAAAGCTAGTTATACTCCTGCTTTCCCAAAAACTTACACCTAGGCAGCAGGACTGCAATTCCCATCCCTTCTCCTATTGCTGCTGCCTTTTGCATCAGGCAATGAAGCCACATGCTGAAGTCCATCCTGCCTGCTGAAGAGGGCGGGCGGTCCTGTTGCGCCTCCGACCACCGAGGCTCTCCCACAGGAGCCACCGTCCTCGCAAGCCTCACCACCTCCTGCTCGGGAGGAAGGCTCAGCCCTTTGTCCTCGCCTCCCCTTGCAGAAACACCCACCAACATGTGCACACAGGGCATTACAAAAATAATAAGAAACAGAGCGCTCCCCTCACATGTTCGGTCTCACGGGAGGAGGAGAAAAACAGCACCAGTGTTTGCATTGCTTAACGCACTGCAAACATACAGACATGCACTACAGCCATACGCTTCCTACAAGAACCCATGAAGAATGAAATAATGCAGAATTCCGGCTCCGATGCTCAAAGCTCCCCAAGAGACTGGCGCGAGTGGCAGCCCTGCCACTGCCTGGTGCCCAGGACGTGCCCTGCAGCGATACCCCACCGAGACAATGAACCCACTGACTCCGGATCCCGCCCTAGTTTTGCAATACCAGTTTCTTTAAGGTTTGCCAAACTGGTTAAAGACCATGCCACAATATTAACTGCTTAGAGAGACTCCCGGGCCCTGCCCGGCCGAGCTTGCCGGCTGCCCTGGAGCGGGCAGAAGCGGCTGCGCTCACCTGCGAAGCATCCCAGCAGGGCCGTACCTCTGCACCCCACTGCCCCGGGACCAGAGCTGCTCCCCCAAAGTCTGGCTGGGGCTGGTTTCAGTTTTTCTTCTTGAGAAAACAGCCTGGCCCTTATCAGGTGCGTTTCCCCAGTAGGTGGAGAGATTGCAGGGGAGACAGCCGGACTTTGCCTCCAGACAGGGGCATGCATATCAAAAGGCTGGAGGGAAGCATTTTACATGATGGCTGGGATGGCAGCCATCACCCAAGCCCTGTTTGAATAACAAAAAGAAATAAAGGACCCCAATGGCCGGGGCTCTCCCTCCAGGCTGGCTCCTGCCGAGGGCTCTGGGCTATGGCGCACACAAATGGCCTTTAACTCTCCCTAAACTGAACATTTCCCTCTAATCCTGGGAAGAAAAGAGTTGCTGGGTTGGCAGTTTACTAAGAAAGGGAGCCCATTTTGGCAGATATGCTCATTAAGAAGGGCAGGCTCTCCCCTCCCCTGCCCGTTTCCTGTGCCTGGCCCCTCTCCGGCTCTCGCCGCGCTCCCGCGCTCCGGCACTTCCCTCCATTTTCCCCCTGTTTCCTCTCCTGCCACCCCTGCCCCGCTCCGCTCCCCCTCCGGACCGCAGCAGCCCTTTGCGGCCACCCCCAGGCTCCAGCACATCGCCCGCTGCCTTTCAGCAAAGCTCGGTTGAAAGAAATGAAACAAAAAACAAACCGGCCCCTCCTCTCCCAGTGAAGACCAGGCCTGAGAAGTCTCCTGGGCAGCCACCATCACAGCCAGCCGCTGCTCCAGCCGCTCTAGGCTCTTTACCATGCTCATCTCGGTCACGTCCCGCTGAGATGAGCCACTCTGGCTCTCCCGGGCTCCCTGCCCAGGGACGTGCCCAGCGTGGAGCCGGCACCCGTGCTGGTGCTGCCTGCGGGCAGGGCTGGGGGCTGCGGGGGCTCTGCCGTCACGCAGGTGGGTCTTGCTCAGCGGTGGCAGGTCCTCCGTCCGGAGCGGTTACTGCTTCATTTTTCCCCTGCAAAAGAGGACATTAAGCGATGACAATGACATCTCGCTGTTCCCGTCTCCTCCCATCCAGCCCCGAACAGTGAGGGCTTGAGCCTACAACCCTCCCCAGAGCTGGGGGCTGGGGCACCCTGGCTCATTCCCTCATAACTTAAAAATTAGCAAGCTGGAGGCAGAGGGAGAAAAGGGAAGTCCTACTGAGGGGGCAGCATCTTTCAGCCCCCTCGCTCCTTCAGCCCCCTTTCCGAGGGAGGTCAGGGCAACATCAGCGAGAGTCCCAGGACCAGCGCTCGCCCCGGGTGTCCACCCGCTGCTCCTCTCTCCCGGACTCCTGGGACTTGTGCTCCACGGTGGGACCACCCTGGAGTTTACTTCTCTTTCTCCGATGCTTTCCCTCCTCTGCCTCTCCCTCCACCGGAGCTTTTCCCCGGGCTCAGGAGGAGGAGGATGCCACCAGAGCTCCCCCGGGGATGCCCCTGGCTCACGAGGAGGAGGATGCCGCCAGAGCTCTCCCCGGGATGCCCCCAGCTCGGGAGGAGGAGGATGTCGGCGGAGCTTTCCCCAAGACCC